ATTTTTTTTTTTTTTTTTTTTTTTTAACGTCTTTCTGAGCCAATAATCTTCAGAACTTATGGGCTTGGGAGTGTGTAGTTGGGCCCGGTGGCCCAATTGTGGATATTGAGCCCAATTAACGTATGTCGAAGGCGAAATTGTGAAAAGGGCACGAAGCATTTTCTGATTCAGAGTGTTGATGTTTGGAGAAGGTATTCACCATTCTTTTTTGTTCGGAAGAAACTTTTTCAAAATGATGCTTGGACACTAGCTGGACTGCAACCAGCTTTTAAAAGAGCTTAGCAGTTACAGTTCGAATTGGAGTCAAAGTATTCCAACGGTATAAATGTGATACTAGCCCATTAGATCATATTTAATTGATATTAGCCCATTACACACAGGGCCCTCCTCCTCATTTCTGCAAGACGAAGCTTCCAAATAATGGAGCAATGGAAGGAAGGGTTTCTCAATTGCTCATAAGTTGGCAGATGGGGATGCTGTAGTTTTTCAACTCATTAAACCTACAACATGCAAGGTGATATCCCTTCAACTCAATGCATACATGCACATTCTTCTGTTCACTGTCACTTCCATTCTCATTAGAAACATAAGGCTGTTTGTTCATCATCTATCTATCTATCTATCTACATGGATGCCCCTTGGTAACTGCTGCAATTATATTGAAGTTTTGAGCGTTGGAAGAGCCAGCCTCCCTCTGATCTGATTGGTTGGGGTCCTGTTCTTCTTATACATCTTTAAAACCACGATCTCCAGTGTTAGCTAAGGCTATAGTGTTGGCTCATAGATTTAACTTGTTTGCTTCGTTCATATTGTGCTGCTATGACAGAATGGAATCGGCTTGTGTTTGAAGGGAAAAAGAAGAGAAACAAGACAGGGCAAGAAATGGAGTTGAGTGGCTAATGGCAAAAGCAGAAAAGTGGGAAAAAGTTTGTCCACATGACCAATCGTTCTCATTGTGGGTTTTTGAGTACGAAATCTTTGTTTTTTTTGCCATATTTCTTGCATCCTTCTTTTTCTCTTTGTTTTAAAATAAAGAATATGGTTTTGAAAGATGGGATAAGTGAGTCCACCCAAAAATAATGGCTCTATGATTGAGATATAGACAATTCTTCTACTCTATGCCACGCTATAAACCATTGTCTACACGTGTGTTTTGGGTCTACCATCTTAAGTTCCCCACAACTTTCCTAAACCCTTACCATTTTATTTTGAAGATGAACAGGCAAAAGGAAGCCACTTCCTTCTTGATCCTCTCCTGGTTAGTAAACACTTCATGTTTTTGCTTACAATACATTATTGTAAAATTTTTTTTTTTTTTTTTTTTTTTTTACAATTATTGCTTGGGTTGGTGTATTGATGACACCTTAAATGGTTCTACTTTTCATCAACCATGACAGCAAAAAGGGCCTTTCATGTCACTGTTACATTAATAGCTAGAACATAATGTTCAGACAAGAGGAAAACATCCTACAACTACCAAATAAGCAAACAAAATGTGTTTAGTTTCTATTATTTGAAATCATATTAACTGCCTAAATCTTTGAATAAAAAGTTAAAACCTTACCTAATTTTTGTAATTCATTCACTCATCATGATTAGATAAGAATTGCAAGTGTTTTGTTTCCATGCAAAGTTGGGACCAAATTGCTTGAAAATACTGACCCATTATTGAGATATGAATGAGTAGTCTCATTCAATGCATCACAGCATACAAAAAAACATGTAAAAGAGGATCGGCAGTGTATTATAAATACTGATGAGTTCTTCGAAGTTTCCTCCTGAAAAAGGGGTTTAATTAATGACTAATGGCGTACTCTTGTTAGGAAAGATCCATGAATACAACAAATACCAAAAACAGTAGCCCTCCATTGTAAAGGTTATTGGCTTTTTGTGGGAAATTTTGTGGGTTTTTGTTGGATGTTTCTTTACCGAATCTGTACTCTCAATAGCTGTAAGATTTGACAAGGACCCACCAATACTTGACACGTGCTGCCCCCAAAAAAGAAAAAGAAAAAGAAAAATAAGATTAAGAACTTGATTTAAGCAAGTTCAGAGAGGCAAAAACGCCAGACCCCCCCTCTTCTTTTTTCCCTTTCTCTCTCTATCCTCTAATATTCTTATCCTTTCCTAAAGGCATGGTAGTGTCCTTAAAACTGAAGTATTGAATTGGGATTTTCAGATTCAGAATCAGCAGACCAATTGATCTGTCAGCAAAACCTCTCTGTGTTGGTTATGGACATCCATCAGCATCAGAAGATCCAAGAAAGGGGTGCGGAGAACAATAGCAGAAGGTTTGAAGATGGCAGCTTAAATCTTGAAGAAGGCAAAGATAGGCAATTGGAGAAGCAACAATTGCCAGCTTCTTCCTCTCCTCCTTCATCATCTCCTTCTCATGAATTTTCCTTCTCAGTTTCTCTTCAAACTTCCTCCACTGACAAAGCCAAAGCCCCACCTTCCTTCACCATTGATTTGTCTCCAGCAGATGACATCTTTTTCCATGGCCATCTGCTTCCTCTTCACCTCCTCTCTCATCTCCCAGTCCCTCCCCGCTGCTCAACCAACTCCATTGAAAGCTATTCCCTTCCCATTAGAGACCTGCTAAGAGACAAGGAGCCCAAGAAAGAGAGCAGCGACTTCATCAATTGCAACAGCGATGAACACTACCAAAACAACAGGAGTGATACAAGAGAAAAAGCCAAGTCCAAGTCTTTCTCCTTGCTTGGTTTAAGGTGGAGAAAGGGGTATGAAGATGAAGAGCAAGAAAATAAAGTGAAACAGCTGAAAAGGAAGTTCGGGTTCAATTTCAGCCATGTACTGAAGAGATATGCGAGAATAGTGAGGCCATTTTTACACTTCAGAGGGAGAAGAGATGATATGCAACCCCACAGACAGTCTTATTCATTTTCAGGTAATTTAAGTTTAAGAAAGAAGCCAGAATTGAGAGGAAGAAGAGGCGAGTTCTCAGCTCCAGTTTCCATGAGAACGTCTCCAACAAATAGTGGTGTCCTCCTTACAACAACAACAACACTTCCTCCGTCCAATAACGACAGCACAATGGAGGAGTTGCAGGCAGCAATCCAAGCAGCAATAGCTCACTGCAAGAATTCCATATTGAAAGAGGAGAGACTCAAATGTTAAGAGCGTATACAACAAAGGACACATATTGTTCATATTCTATTTCTTTATTAAAAATTATTCAGCATATTCTCTTTTTCTGCATTAATGTGCGTGGTATGTACGTGTATATAGACAAAAAGAGGTACCAATTCAGTCCAGAAGGTCCGGTTTGAAATATAAATATTACGTTTGTTCTCCGGCCCTTTCAATGATTTTTTATCATGTAACTTGAGAGGTGTTTTATTTGCTTAAATTTTATCCTTTTGAGTAAGTGGATGGTCGCAATTGTAGTATTTGATTTAGATGTAAATTTGAACCTAGTACTACTACATTGGTTGCTGAATCTCTTTTACCCTTAAACAAAAGCAATAATAATATGAATAAAGAAGCTTTGATTTGAAGAGAGTTAGTTCATCATTAACATTTTGGATTATAAGACTGGGGCAAGACATTGAGTAGATAAGGATAAAGAAAAAGACATAAGAAAAGTTGATTGATCGATCTACTAACCTTCAAAAGAAAGGAAAATGTGACCAATCTATCATCGACCTGATGATCTCTCTACCAATTGAGTGGCCATGAGCACAGCTTAAATCAAACAACCATCCAAGTTTGGACAGGCAAATACCACTCTTCTGCCAGCTCTGTTCTCTCCTTTTCGTCTTTTGAATCATTAACAAGCCAGACAAAAACCACATATAACGCTGGGACCAAAACTCTCATATAAGTTTAAAAGAGGTAAGCGGATTCAATAATTGTCTTAATCTACTTGAGAAATATTTTTTCTCTACCACACCCATCCCTTGCTTTTAAGAATATTAACCATAAAAGAGACAGTAAAAAGTTCTCCCACAGAGGTTGTTAGCTTTATTGGCTATAAAACTGCCCAAGTAGATCAAAATGACATTGAGAAAGTAAACGTGTGGGAGTAATGCCTAAAAACATTGCATCGGATGCCAGGGGGCCAGGGGGCAGGGGGCAGGGTCCCAACAACGAATAGACAGTTAAAATAGCGATCAACCATTTCTAGATGCATCGAAACAAGTGAAACCTCTGAAAAGAGAGGGTTAATGGGGCTCAAAAGGTGTGGGGTTAAGTGAGATAATGCCTTAGACAACCCAATTGCCACCACTACGTACAATATTAATAACAATAATTCAGAATAGGTATCAATGCCTTCAATAACAGTTGATCTGGTTTTTTAAATTGAAAAGCATCAGAATGAACGATATATATCGTAAAGGTGTGGGCAACTGATAGGAAAGCTACCTTTTGAGTATTATTGCATTGCCATCTATGAAACCCACCTGATCAAGCCCCCCCCACCCCACGCTAAAAGAAGTGCTTTCAGTCTTTTCAGCAATGCCCCTAAGCTTACAAACAAAGAAAACAGGGAACAACCGCAATGCTTTTATTAGTACAGCCGCGTGAATACATGCATGTGTGACCGAGGCGCCTGTGCACGCTTTTATAAGAAAATCCAATATGAGCATTGAATTTCATTGGCAGAGATGAATGAAACGCCATTTTTTTCTAGGATCAATGAAAAAGACAACTGGCCTATCCCTATCCTGCCATACACATCTAGGAAGCCCCCACAAAAAAGAAAGGTGATGGCTGTTGGGGCTCAAAAGATAATATTATAAATTCTCAGAACTTGAGCTTCTGGTGACCATATTTTTCTCACCAAATGGTTAATCAATTGATATAATGCAAAAACAACACAAAGCTCGGTCAGAGGACTTTTATCAAACACTTGACATGCATAACCTATCAAAAACAGCGCACAGATTCTAAAACTTGCCTTCAAATAAATTTCTTCCACATGAATCAAGCTTAAATTCAGTCACCCTTAGAAGTGTCGATGATCTAAAATGGTTTAGCCGAATCCCATGAACAAAAGACAGCATGAAAGATAGATTAAAATAGACACCAAATTTTGATACCATAAACAATCTTTAACACTCAAAACCAAACAAGGATGAGCGGGAGGATGGATGAGGTTCTTAACTTTCTTGAAACACTCACTACAAGTGCAAATTGGCCACTAAAATTATGGTACCTTGCCTTCAGCTTCACTCCACCCATAACTTTATTTTACAAAATTCTGTATGGGATCATGACCTTTTTGTCACTTGTCGCCCGGATGAGCAACACGAAGCCATGGCCCTTCGCTGGGTTGCCCCCAATGAATTCCTAGTACAAAGAGTCAAATTGGGGCCGTACACCGCATAACTGGCCGATTGGAGCATTTTCAAATCCTACTTCCCGGTGGCCCAATAACCCATGAGTGGATCAACTCTGCGCGGGTTGGGGGATTGTACTTTTCGAGTAGCATCCTTTTGAATGACTCTCGTGAATATGACGCAGAGAAATTTGTCTAAATAATATAAATTTTGGGAGAATAATATCGCAAGTTACTATCCGCAAGTTAAAATGAAGAATATAAACAGAGTATTAAATACAAACTTGTGGCCAAGTCAGAACAAAAATAATCCAAAAAAAAAAAGGAGGAGGATATTATTCATATTAATATTAATATCAACAGGAATACATTATTCATTTTATCCTTTTTTTTTTTCTCTAAAATCAGAGCTCTTAATTTTCTATACTTGATTCTGCAAAGAAGATTTCGATGTTTCGCATATCACGTGCTGATCTTCCTCTGCAAAACTGGATTTGGATTAATGGCGGCGTAACATTCGAATAACTAAAAGCGATAAGCTTTAGTTATGCAAACGGCGTATTTTCTTCGCGGTTCTTTCTTAAACGAGTGTCGGTTGCCTATGAATCAGGCTTCCAACTATGGCGACTCGCTCCCTCTGCGATTAATGGCCTCTTCAGGTTCTTGACCTCTTCAGGTTCTTGATTACTCATCATCAATATTGTCGTTAGGTTCTTTCTTTGATTTGGTTTGGTTGACTGCTTCAACATTGATTACCTCGGTGGTTTATCATTTGGGTTTCGTGTAATAATTGTTTTTAAGTTAGAAACTGAAGATTAAATTGATTGATTGGTTGAATGAATTGATTCCGCTTGTTCTTGAGACGTCTTGAAAATTTGTGATCTGGGTTAGTTGTGTGTGTAGTTTTCTCTTTAGTTTTAAGAGTTCTGGAGATTTATGATTGGAGATCATTGAGCTAAAACACTGGATGCACGATTTTATTGGGGAACACTTACAGGTTCTTATATTAAGGCCAAAATTAGAGATTATTGATCTGGGTGATCGGAGAAATCACAATATTGGACGATGAACGCTGTAGGGATACTAGGTAGTTACATTTCAAAGGGTGTTTATACCGTTTCTGGGCCATTTCATCCGTTTGGTGGAGCTGTGGACATTGTTGTAGTCGAACAGCAGGACGGTAGTTTTAAATCATCGCCTTGGTATGTACGGTTTGGGAAATTTCAAGGAGTTTTGAAGACAAAGGAGAAGGTGATCAACATAGCTGTAAATGGGGTTGAAGCTAATTTCCAGATGTATATGGATCATAAAGGAGAAGCTTATTTTTTGAGGGAAGTTGATGCTGAAGGAGAATCTGGATTGTATTCTTCATCTTCAGGCGATGAGGCCGAGGGGAAATTGCTGCAGGAACTCGATTGTAGGATCCTTGGTTCAAAAAGTTACAACTGTGATGCTAGAAGTTCAATAGATGGGATTGAGAAGAGTAAAGATAAAGGGAAGATAGTGACAAAGACTACCTCCCAACGACGGACACTTGGATGGGGTCGTAATTCAATTAAAGAAGATCATCATGAGGATGCATCTCTTGCGAGAGTAGACTCGCTGAAGCGTGCTGAGATTGTAGCTGATCTTTTAGAGGTTAGGTGGTCTACCAATCTTCGCACACAAAAGCTTGAGAAATCAGATTGTTCCAAGTTTTCTTCCATTGACACTTCAGATGACAAGGATGAGGAAAAGTTGAGGAGAGATGATGAGACAAGCCACGTGACATCAACTGATGAAGGTAACATGGGGAATAGTCTTGATAAAGATTGTGAAAACTCCGGCAGCAAGCACATAACCAATGGCTCTCAATTGGAATCGGAAGACGTAGCGCTGTCGACTGAGGTAACTAGAGAATTGTCAAGTTTAAACACCGAGGATAGAGTGATTGAAATTTCCACTATAGGGGGAAAGGATTTTGACGGGACATATGAAATGAAATCTGCACCAACGGATATCGAACAGACTGCCAAAGATACTGTGAATGCGACAGGAACCATCTCCGAAAATGCAGATTCCGAGTCCCAGATTTTATTGTTGAAGAACAGTGATTCATATTATGGAGAGAACTTTATTGGACGTCACTTATCTGATGAAACAAATATCGTTTCTCAAGTATTCAACATTTCTGAAGACAAGAGTGAATGCGATGCAGTCCAATCCTTAATGTTCTATGAAACTTCCAAGAGCTCAATGTTGACGATGGATGACTCAAGCGTACTGACTCCTAAAGCCTCCCACCCGGCCAATGGAGGATATGGGATCGTTGATGTGCATTCAGAGGGATTGCACCTGACAACTGAAGTTCATCCTGGGGTAAGCTTTATTCTGACATGAACAAAATTCATTCACACATATGTGTCATTTAGCAATGTAGGATTGTTAAATTCAGAGCCTATTCTAGCATTTTTACTGATGTAGAGAGTAGACAAAAATAAGTTTCCATGATTTCTTGAAGTCAGAAAGTTCGCTGAATTTATTTCCATTGATGCTGATTCTTTTTTATTAGCGCTGATATCTCAAAAATTTGAATTCAGTATACAGATTCTAGTGTCGTAGCTGGAGATTTTGAAATAGAGACTGAAAAATTTGAAGCCCTCGTGAACTATTCTCAACAAGTGGATCATTGTAATAGTTCTGTCTATGAAGGCAACACAATGGACCAAGAAAAGCTACCGACACTCGAAGCTTCATATACTCAAATAGTCTCCACAGAAGAAATGCATGGTTCAGTTAAAGAATTTAAGTCCGATAGCAGAGGTTCAAGTTTCGGCTCGGATTTTCAAGATGACAAAAGTGTAGATGGAAGTGTCAAAAGCAAGTTCCAAATTTCTTCGAATTCTATCGGTAATAGAGTCGTACCAAAAGAAAGTAACATAATACCATCAACAAATTCAGACGATGAACAATTCCTTTTCAGTGATATTGATGTTTCAAAAGCTGAGCTAAATGGTAATATAGAGTTAGACAGCCAACGTTACAATGATAAGGAAGAATATCCATTAGCATATCCAAGTAGCATTGATGAAGAGGATAGATTTGTAAATAGAAGTTGTGTAACATCCAGTTCGCCAGATAGTCATGAGTTCTTCAATCAGGGGATTGCAAGTTCCATCACAATTCCTTCAAGTCGACCAATCTTGAATAAAGAATTTGACCGTATGGCAGCATCACTACCTAATATGCAGGATCGTATTGATAATTTAATTGCCGGTGAGATCAGCCATCCTCTAAGCCATTCTGTGGACTCAAATGCCAAATCATTGAAGTGGATGGAATTCTCTAAAGATAATGCAGGCTCCAAATCTTGTAGAGATGAAGAAGATAAAGTGGCAGAGGAACGGTCAAGATCTGAAGAATCCTCGGTTTCAGAAGAACTCAAAGGTATTATTCCTAACTCTAGAGCGGGTAAGAGAATTTGGATACTTATTGCAAAAGTTTACTTTTGAGTTCTTATACTGTCTCAACAAATTTATTACTGAGTTTAGGCTCTAGATTGTATAAATGATCCTTTGTTTATCCAAATTCATGTAAAACTCAACGGCAAACTGTAAGGTGATACGCTTAAAAGTTGACAGTTATTCCTTATGGAGTGAGGCTCCTCTATTTAATTGGGGATCATTATAGTTGAGAACAGAACGGATATCCGTTATGAAACACTTTATAGCTCTTGACCCTATTGAGAAAACTCTTACAGGTAGTCCAGCAGAAGCAACTGTTGACCCAGTTGGAAATTGGAAACTTTGGCCTTTCTCTTTTAGAAGATCTAGTTCTAGGAAAGGAACACAATCAGCTGTTGACGACTACGTAGATTTTGATATTAAGAAGACTTCAGATAGGAACGTTCGAATGGATGGAGAAGCAAGTATCTTTAAGCACAAGGCAGAGAAAAAGATGGTTAAGTCCCTCACACCGACATCTGAGCAGCTGGCATCCTTAAATCTCAAGGAAGGGGGAAACACAATACTTTTCACATTCTACACTGCAGTGCTGGGGAAACAGCAGGTCAGAGTTCTTTTTTCAGCCGTCCCTGTCTTCTTTCTTTCTCTGTTTCCCTTCATATTTGCATTTCGTGACTGATTATGTTTCTCAACAGGTTGATGCCAAGATTTATTTGTGGAAATGGAATACTCGCGTAGTGATATCAGATGTGGATGGGACAATAACAAAGTATGGTATTTCATTCTGATGATTTTGGATGTGATATTCTGATATTTAGCATAGTTTTATTAACTCTTCTTTGGAATTGTTTACTCCTGTTGTTGGCTCCTTTCTAATCTTTTCTAAAAATTAAAATGTTGCCCTTGGACGAGTCATTAGTAACATCTTCTGCCATTAAATTAATATCCTCTTTGATATTGGAAGTTCTTGTTGACAATTGCAAGAGTTGTTTTTTAACCATCATAGACGCCTTGAAATTCACATTAATTAGAAATCAGATAAATATTTGTCTTCTGTTGGCTGTTCAGAGAATACAATGGTGATTGGCTAGACTTTTTAGCATAGAATTTTGATAATGAACTTTCTTCAATTTGTAAGAAACAGGGTTAGAAAGCAGTATGTAATCGAGAGATGAGGCCTGAATTTATTTTCTAGCATTCACTAAACACGATTTTTTCTAGCATTCACTTTCTTTAGTTTTTCCTCGTGTTACTATCTTAGATCGGATGTTCTGGGTCAATTCATGCCCTTTGTTGGAAGGGATTGGTCACAAACAGGCGTCACAAATTTATTTTCTGCTATTAAGGTACGATGTCTCACCCTTATGCAGTTGGATGATTGTCTGTGATGAAACTAGTATGCAATGAACTCTCTCAGTCTCTCTCTCTCGCTCAACATTTTTCTTTCTTCTTATATATATACTTTCAGGAAAATGGGTACCAATTGCTTTTTCTTAGTGCACGATCAATTTCTCAGGCCTATCAAACCCGCCAATTTCTTTTCAACCTTAAGCAGGTAATGTATTTACTTAAATTCAAGCTTGTTTGGAATGAATTTCGAAGGGCTTAAAAACACTCTTTTTGGCCTTAGAAACACTTTCTAAAGTACTTAGAAAGTCAGCAGACCATTAGTATCCATGATTGATCTTTACTTGGTTTTCGTCCCTGCAGGGTGGGAAGGCTCTGCCGGAGGGACCTGTTGTTATCTCCCCAGATGGGCTTTTCCCTTCACTATATCGTGAAGGTTATTTCCTTTTATCCTTGATCTTTTCGTTAGAAATTATAGCTTTTTCCTCCAGTCATGTAACTATGTTTTGAAAATTACTACCCAATTCTTCTTTCTTTAAGCTAGATTTTAGTGAATTGCTAGATGCTCTGGAGAAAGTTTTGGTTATTGAATGTGTTCTTCGATTTGGTGGTTATATTTAAACTAGGAATAGCTTTAGTTGGTACTTTTTGTTTTTTTGATCAGAAAAAGCATTTGGTACTTTGGTACACATGTTTTTTTCCCTGGAAATGCATACTTTAGCAGTCATGTGAGCCTCCCCTGCATTTTGCATCCGCATTCTTGGGATTCTAAATGCCTGTTTATTAAAAGCATAGACTCTGTCATGGGCGGGTGGGGGTGAGCCATCTCCTAAAGCTAGCTTTGGGGTGGGTGAAACCTTCATATATATTTGTGGAGGATGGGTTGTAAACACGATGTAAAGAGCAAGGTTCTCATAATGCGATAATCGTATATATACATATCAGCATGCTTGGATTTGTCGATAACCCTTTTCATTTCTTCTTCTCAGTTATTCGGCGGGCTCCTCATGAGTTCAAGATTGAATGCTTGGAGGTTAGTTTTCCTTCTTTCTTGATATTTAAACTGATACAAATTTTACATTCTTCATACTCATACTGTGATGAGCTGTGGTTTCGATGCATGACTGTTCAAAATATATTATTACTTAGATCAATCACTCAAATTAGAAATTTTGAATAACAATTGTTCACATGGGCTCTGAATAAGATGGCTCATAGTCTGCTTTTTTTTAACTTTTAGAGAATTCGAGAACTATTTCCTCCAGATTGCAATCCATTTTATGCTGGGTTTGGAAACAGGGACACAGATGAATTTAGCTACCTTAAAGTAGGAATTCCAATAGGAAAAATCTTCATTATTAATCCCAAGGTATGATTTGAGGGGGATTCACGAATATGACTTGAAAACAGCATAATCTTATGCGATTTGGCAGCATCAAAATTGATAAAATTGTTCGTGCTTGTAGGGGGAGATTGTTGTAAACCGTCGCTTTGACACAAAATCGTATACGTCACTTCATACTCTTGTCAATGACATGTTTCCTCCCATCACCTCGTCTGAGCAGGTTGCTTAAGCTTTAAACTGAATTTGGATTAATTCTAGAATTACTTTTATCAAACCAATTCTTTGGTTGCTTACAGGAGGACTTCAATTCATGGAATTACTGGAAACTATCACCTCCCTTGGTAGATTCATAAAGCTTTTTTTGCCTGAAATATGAGATCCTTGAATCTGTGCATAAACTGTGGTGGGTCAGTAGATTCTGAAGTCTTAGAACATCTTGTTGGTATAACATGTTCCAGGTGGGTTTCTTTGCTAAACTCATTGGTAGAGATTATTAAGCTTCTGGATCCATTGCTGATTGCGCCCACCTAATACACATCTTCTGCAGAATCAGTTCATATTTCATGCTGATCTCTGCTGAGTTGAAACTTTTGTGTTACATACTGGATATAGGGTTATTGTACAGTGGTAAGCTCATTGTAAGTATGTAGTTTAAATTCATAGGTAAATTATTAAAGCTCCATCAGTTTATGTGTTTATTTCCCTTTAGGAAGAAAGTTAGCAAAAGTAAATAGAATGCCTGTACATTTTCCTTGTACCTTTAGAATTGCCAAGGAATTTGCTTCCACCATGGTGCCAAAATTCCTCATTAGTAACATTTGTTATTATTTTATTCTAATAAAGAAACAAACATTTGGAGGAGATTTTCTTTTGCCCATTCTTTTTACTATAATTGTGTTCCAAATTACAACGTCTCATGAGAAACCTATCCTCGTCGGTATCATGTTAGATACAAACTTTGAACTGTGGAGTTGAACCCGAGTGCCTAAGAGTAAGGATTGCAGCTCTTGTTTGGTGAGAATTCCGAAGGTTTTAAACTCAAATTTTATCAATTCAGTTGCTTCATTCTCAGCCCAAACTTGATGTTAAGAGATCGATATTGTTAAACTAAGGCTATATTTGTATGGATGGAATGTTTGTACATCTCGTATATGATAGCTCGTCTGGCCAACATATATGAGCTCATATATTCCCTTCTCTTTGCACATGAAGGTAAGTCTCACAATGAATAACTATCTTCCGTATTTCGACTGTATTGTTCGGTAGAAATTGGAATCTCCATCCTGATTGGGTACCATAAAAGTTATTATCAATGGTTGGTTGAGCTCGAATTCTTACTTTTTGGTCACTACGGAAGTAGGACCAAAGCGAGCAGGGCCCACACCTTAGTTGTTCTATACTTTGCAGGAGAAAGGTTAAGTATCCTTTTGAAATTAAATGGAATATTAGCCTGAAAATGCGACGTTCTATACTTTGCAGGAGAAAGGTTAAGTATCCTTTTGAAATTAAATGGAATATTAGCCTGAAAATGCGACTCTAACGACTAGGTTTTGATAGGGCTATATTGTCTATGCTAATGTCAACTCTTGTTTGGTAATTGTCTAAATTAAATTATTATAGTTTTTTTTTTGTTAAATTAAAAATTTTGATCTCTAAACTTTTAAATATTACTAGGCATAGGCATATTTATTTTGAGCATGTAAACTTCAAACAAAATTTTGCATTTCTTGTGTTTAGATTTGCATGTTTAAATAATTCAAGTAGTTTTGATCAAGCTAATTTACGTTGTTAATCGAATCACAAATTTAAAAACGAATTTTTTAGATCGAATAATTTAAATATTTCTTTCCTCTGTGATTTGTTATTTATTTAATAAGTTCGTTAAACTAGAATTCTCACGCCTGGGTGGGCCCTTTTTAGGTAAGGTAGATCACGGACTCGGCCCTTATTTTATTTTATTAAAGCTTGGAACGATAAGAGTACAGCAATACAGAAGGGGACGTTATTATTACACCCATTACCTTCATCAGTACATCTTCACATTGCACTGCTCGGCGTAGTCAAGGAGCCTCTCAAACTCTTCCTCTGAAATTTCTCGATCGGCATAGTCATCAACATGACCCATACTCATCCCGTAGTGAGATTCACCATGGGAATGGGAATGGCCATGGGCATGACCATGGGCGTGGCCATAGTGGCCGCTACCATTGCCATAATCACCAGAAGTCATACCAAACCCAAAGCGGGAACCCATGTCATCCTGGTCACGAGCATAACCCATGCTGCCACAACTACCAAAGACGTTGGCGCCGCTACGCCTCTCAAAGAAGTGGGGGATGATGGGTCCGAGGATTTCAATAATTTCGATGATGTCCCTGATCTTAACGCGGCCTCTTCTTGATCTGCGAGCATTGGCTCTGTATACGTTCATCAGGTCATCCCTGCATCGGAGGTTATCCACTGAACGGCAAGCCATTTTTGTTTGGAAAAGGAGGTTCGTTGTTTGATTGGTGCGAAGGGTGTGTGTGATGAAAGGTGTTGAGGTTTTGGGTATTTATAGCATACTTTCTTAACCTGTTACCCCTTATTACTTATGCCTTCCTACTTCATTTTTATGACAACATAGTGAATTAATATTCCCTCCCATTCTATGTTGTCTTTGTCAGCGATGGACCCTGAAATTCCAAGGAAAAAGGAAAGATTCTATACTTAATAATGCTTCATTAACACACACACACACACAAAAAAAGAAAAAAAAAAGATTAAAATAATATATTACTTTCTACCCATTGTTTTAAATGAAGTTTTTCCATGATCTTTAATTTCTTACCATTGATATATAATTGATTCATTCATGGAATCGTCCTTGATTTTTTTATTTGGTCCATAGGAATTTGTACTCATACTAAATGGGTAATTTTTGAAAAGGACTTACAAATACTTTTATTTATTTAAGCTCATATTTTATTGTATATATTGGATTATATAACATTTTTTTTTCTTTGTATGCAATATTTATTTCTATATATATTTTTATAATATATATATATATATAATTTTATTATTATTATTGTGAGAGATTTTTTAATTTCTATAAAATCTTCTCTTCGTAACAATACCTTCTCCTTCTCTCCAAGCCTTGCTCGTCGCCCAACAATATAATTTCAATATTTTCTTCTAATTGAAAAGAAAGAAAGAAAATAAAAAGTTGTGGCTGTCTTCTTTCATGGATGTCAAAAGAATGAGACTAACGCATTCAACAATAGAATATAGGTTTTTTTTTTTTTTTTTTTTTTTTTTTAAATTTCAATCAAATAAATATAAACTTGTATCCATTTTTTCGTGATATTATGCATGGATCAGCTATATCATGGCGAATTCTTCGGAAAAAAATNTTTTTTTTTTTTTTTTTTTTTTTTTTTTAATGAACATATGAAACTAAGATAGATATCTACCGATCTTAACCTACTTGGATTTGGTCCTTACGAATTGGATTCAATACATAAAGACAATAATGAGTGGATCTTATCTATTTAGAGTATTGATTCTTTGAGTTTTTTTTGTTTTTTAGTGAAATAGTTCAAATAAAAAATTGTAGTATTTTTAAATTCATAGCTAGTAAATATTGTCATTTTTAGAATTTTTTTTAAAAAAATTTCTTCAAGATTTTAGAACGTCCACTATATTGTCGTCTTTGAATTTTCCCTCAAATTTTTAAAACGTGTCCATTAAGAAAAAGTTTCTATACTCTTATAAGATTTCGTTCTCATCTCCAACTGAGACCTCACCACACTTTGGTTTAAGTTAGATGAAGTGAAAAAATGAAAAAATAGGAGAAAGAAACATATGTATAATCTAACTAATAACTCGTACATGAGTTGCGATATTAAATATCTTTTTCGGCATGAAACAGCACATAAAAAAGAATAAAAATATAAGATAAAGCCAAATATAAAAAAGAAAAAAAAAAGGATTATCAGCTTTGTGGGAATAAGTTTCTTTTCCATCCTTATCGAAAGCAACTAAAGAACCAAACGTTGGGACTCCATAATGCTCATTTAGTTTAGCTCCCCAATAATTTATTACTCATACAACATTATATAGTTTTTAAATTACAGATAAATTTTAACTCAATAAAATTGAAAAAATTACCACTTTCTATTAATTCTAATCTAATAGATCTTATTTGCAACACAACTTTTAATATTTAAAGTCCCATAAAAAAAAAAATAACTAAAAGTTAAATTATAAATTATTGTCTGCTCCCATTCTAATATCTTTAATAATCAATTCATTGATTGATTTGTTGTTTGAGTTGTGAATTTATGCTATTGTCATTTCAAAGAATTGAATATTGTAAGTGGGTGTCTTTTTCTCACAGATGCAAATTTTAGATTTGAAAACTATTAGAACAATTTTTATTATTATTATTATTATTTGTGAATCTAAATGTACATCAATTATTTAACATCATAAAGTTTTTTTTTAAAAAAAATACCTTATTTGAACTAAAAAAAATCTTTATACTTAAGAAAAAGGAGAGCTATACTGTGATATAAGCAGCTTTGGCATAAACCATTGGTAAATTTGTGATATAATAAAATAGGTCAATTTAAGAACCTAGATATATATATATATATATATATATATATATATATATCAATGACACACAATAATTATCAATTATAATGCATTTTATCAAATAAATTATTTATTTTTATTAATGAAACATTATTATGTATAGAATCTTTCCTTTTTCCTTGGAGTTTCAGGGTCCATTGCGGACAAAGACAACATAGAATGGGAGGGAATAGTAATTTCACTATGTTGTCATGCAAATGAAGTAGGAAGGCATAAGTAATAAGGGCTAAGTGGTTAAGAAAATATGCTATAAATACCCGAAACCTCAACACCTTTCATCACACACACCCTTCGCACCAATCAAACTAGGAACCTCCTTTCCAAACAAAAATGGCTTGCCGTTCAGTGGATAACCTCCGATGCAGGGATGACCTGATGAACGTATACAGAGCCAATGCTAGCAGATCAAGAAGAGGCCGCGTTAAGATCAGGGACATCATCGAAATCATTGAAATCCTCGGACCCATCATCCCCCACTTCTTTAAGAAGCATGGCGGCGCCAACAACTTTAGTAGTTGTGGCAGCATGGGTTATGCTCGTGACCAGGATGACATGGTGTTAAGGATAGTTGACCGTTCACTATAAGGCAAATATCTAGATATTTGCCTTACATTACGGGTTACCATATTTGCCCTCTTATTAAAGGCAAATATATTGCATTCATTTATTATTCTTTCCTTTTATTACTATTTCCATAATATTTGTAATTTACCATATTTCTGTATCCTGAAAATGATTATAAATAAGAGAACTCTCACCCCCATTTAGGTGTGGTGATTCAGCAAACATTCACATGGTATCAGAGCCCTTTCGGTTTAACAACCCTGATCCTTTCTTCTCTATGGCTTCCGAATCTTCTTATCATCTTCTTCCTTTCAATACTCTAATCCATATGATCACCATCAAACTTTCTTCCTCCAATTATCTTCTTTGGAAAAGCCAACTTCTCCCTCTCCTTGAGAGTCAAGACATGCTGGGCTATGTCGATAGAACTATGGTTCCACCACCTCGCTTTGAACCAGAAACCTCTTCAACACTCAACCCCAAATATTTGGCATGGAGAGCAGCCGATCAACGACTTCTCTGTCTCCTGCTCTCCTCTCTCACTGAGGAAGCCATGGCTGTTGTCGTTGGTCTCCCTACTGCACGTGATGTTTGGCTTGCGTTGGAAACTACGTTCAGCCATCAGTCGAAAGCTCGTGAACTGAGACTCAAGGATGACTTGCAGTTGATGAAACGTGGCACCAAACCTGTTGCTGAGTATGCTCGTGCCTTCAAAAAAATTTGTGACCAACTTCATGCCATTGGCAGACCGGTCGAGGACATTGATAAAGTGCACTGGTTCCTTCGTGGACTCGGCACCGAATTTTCAGCTTTTTCTACTGCTCAGATGGCTCTTACCTCTATCCCCTGTTTTGCAGATTTAGTCTCTAAAGCTGAAAGTTTTGAGTTGTTTCAGCTCTCCCTTGAGTCCTCTAACTCCACTCCTACAGCATTCACAGTCACTAATCGTGGTCGCACTCATGGAAGCCACCCTGCTTCCTTTACCAACCAGCGAGGTCGTTCTTATTCTCACAAAAACAACTCTTCTAATCGAGGACGAACTCACTCAAGTCAAGGTCGTCGACCACCTCACTGCCAAATATGCCGCAAAGAGGGCCATTATGCTGACCGCTGCAACCAACGGTATGTTCGACCTGATTCTTCTCATGCTCACCTTGCTGAAGCCTTTAACATGTCATGTTCTATTGCTGGACCCGATACTGCTGATTGGTTTCTGGACACTGGAGCTTCGACCCATATGACTGCCGACCCATCTATTTTGGATCAGTCTAAAAATTACACGGGTAAGGACTCTGTGATTGTAGGAAACGGTGCATCCCTACCCATTACCCACACCGGTACTCTTTCTCCTGTTCCAAATATTCACTTGTTAGATGTCTTGGTTGTCCCTCACCTCACTAAAAATCTTATTTCCATAAGTAAATTAACGTCTGATTTTCCTCTCTCCGTTACATTTACTAATAATCTTATTACTGTCCAGAATCGTCAAACAGGAAGGGTGGTGGCAACCGGTAAAAGAGATGGAGGGCTATATGTGCTGGAGCGCGGCAACTCTGCTTTTATTTCAGCCCTTAGAAACAAATCTTTACATGCTTCATATGATTTATGGCATGCTCGTCTAGGTCATGTGAATCATTCTATTATTTCTTTTTTAAATAGAAAAGGTCATCTTTCTCTTACGTCTTTATTGCCTTCTCCATCATTATGTAATACCTGTCAGCTTGCGAAAAGTCATCGATTGCCTTATTCCCGCAATGAACGTAGGTCGTCTCATGTGTTAGATCTTATTCATTGTGATCTTTGGGGTCCTTCTCCCGTCAAATCAAATTCGGGTTTCCTTTATTATGTTATTTTTATTGATGATTATTCTCGATTCACTTGGTTTTACCCTTTAAAATTTAAATCTGATTTTTTTGATATTTTTCTTCAATTTCAAAAATTTGTGGAAAATCAATATTCTTCTCGTATCAAGGTATTTCAAAGCGATGGTGGTACCGAATTTACTAGTACTTGTTTCAAAACTCATTTACGTAATTCTGGCATCCACCATCAACTCTCTTGTCCATATACACCTGCTCAAAATGGTCGTGCTGAGAGAAAACATCGTCATGTGACTGAGACTGGCTTGGCCCTTCTCTTTCACTCTCATCTTTCTTCTCGTTTTTGGGTTGACGCCTTCAGCACTGCAGCTTATATTATCAACCGGTTGCCTACTCCACTTCTTGGAGGTAAGTCACCCTTTGAACTCCTTTATGGCTACACTCCACATTATGACAATTTTCATCCCTTTGGTTGTCGTGTTTATCCTTATTTGCGTGATTATATGCCTAACAAGCTTTCTCCCCGCAGCATTCCTTGTATTTTTTTGGGTTATAGTCCTGCTCATAAAGGGTTTCGCTGTCTTGATCCGACCACCACTAAGCTATATATCACCTGTCATGCTCAATTTGATGAAACCCACTTTCCTGCTATCCCTAGCTCCCAGACCCAACCTCTTTCCTCTATTCCTATTTCAAATTTCTTAGAACCACATTTTCATCGTATTGATTCATCCCCTCCTACCACTTCATCACCGCAAACTCCTCGATCCAGTTCATCCCCGTGTGATATTTGTTCTGACCTTGTAGATGAGTCTGTGCAGGTTGATACTTCTCTTGCAGGTTCCACTTTGCCACCCTCGACTTCTAATTCGACCTCTATTGAACCTCCTGTTGATTTCTCTTCTTTGGGCACTCATCCTATGATCACACGAGCCAAAGCTGGTATATTCAAGACTCGTCATCCAGCAAATCTTGGTATTTTGGGCTCATCTGGACTTCTTTCTGCTCTTCTTGCATCCACTGAGCCAAAAGGATTCAAATCTGCGGCTAAGAATCCTGCTTGGGTGGCTGCCATGGATGAAGAAATTCGAGCATTACAACAAAATGATACTTGGACTTTGGTTCCTCGCCCTGCCAACACCAACATCGTGGGCTCTAAATGGGTGTTTCGTATTAAATATTTGCCTGATGGATCTGTCGAGCGTTTCAAGGCTCGTCTTGTTGCCAAAGGTTATACTCAGGTTCCTGGTCTTGACTACACTGACACTTTCAGTCCGGTTGTCAAAGCTACCACTGTCCGTGTTGTGCTTTCTATTGCAGTCACAAATAAATGGCCTCTTCGACAACTTGATGTCAAGAATGCTTTTCTCAATGGAACTCTTATTGAACGTGTTCATATGGAACAACCTCCTGGGTATATTGATCCTCGATTTCCCACTCATGTTTGTCTATTAAAGAAAGCCCTTTATGGTTTAAAGCAAGCTCCTCGTGCTTGGTTTCAGCGTTTTAGCTCATTTCTTCTCACACTTGGGTTTTCTTGCAGTCGCGCTGACACGTCCCTTTTTGTCTTTCATCAGCAATCTAACATTATCTATTTGCTTCTTTATGTTGATGACATTATTGTTACCGGCAACAACTCATCTCTTATTGACAGCTTTACTCGCAAGCTTCATTCTGAGTTTGCTACCAAAGATTTGGGTTCTCTCAGTTACTTTCTTGGTCTTGAAGCTTCACCCACTCCTGATGGTCTCTTTATTAGTCAGTTAAAATATGCTCGAGATATTCTTACTCGTGCTCAGTTGCTCGATAGCAAACCAGTTCACACTCCCATGGTTGTTTCTCAACACCTGACTGCTGATGGTTCTCCTTTCTCTGATCCTACTCTCTACAGATCTCTTGTTGGCGCCCTTCAGTACTTGACTATTACGCGTCCAGATATTGCCTATGCTGTCAATTCTGTCAGTCAATTCTTGCATGCCCCTATTGCAGATCACTTTCTTGCTGTCAAACGTATTCTTCGTTATGTCAAAGGAACACTCCACTTTGGTCTTACCTTTCGTCCATCCACTGTTCCTAGTACGCTAGTCGCTTATTCGGATGCTGACTGGGCTGGTTGTCCCGATACTCGTCGTTCTACATCCGGCTATTCTATTTATCTTGGTAACAATCTGGTTTCTTGGAGTGCCAAAAAGCAACCTACTGTCTCACGCTCCAGCTGTGAATCTGAGTATCGTGCTCTTGCCACAACCGCTGCTGAACTTCTTTGGGTTACGCATCTTTTGCATGACCTCAAGGTCCCTATTTCAAAGCAGCCCTTACTCTTATGTGACAACAAAAGTGCTATTTTTTTGAGCTCTAATCCCGTTTCTCACAAGCGGGCCAAACATGTTGAACTAGATTATCATTTCCTTCGAGAACTTGTTATCGCTGGCAAACTTCGCACACAATATGTACCCTCTCATCTCCAAGTTGCTGACATCTTCACAAAGAGTATTTCTCGACCTCTCTTTGAATTTTTCAGATCCAAGCTTTACGTTCGTTCAAATCCGACGCTCAGCTTGCGGGGGGGTGTTAAGGATAGTTGACCGTTCACTATAAGGCAAATATCTAGATATTTGCCTTACATTACGGGTTACCATATTTGCCCTCTTATTAAAGGCAAATATATTGCATTCATTTATTATTCTTTCCTTTTATTACTATTTCCATAATATTTGTAATTTACCATATTTCTGTATCCTGAAAATGATTATAAATAAGAGAACTCTCACCCCCATTTAGGTGTGGTGATTCAGCAAACATTCACACATGGGTTCCCGCTTTGGGTTTGGTATGGCTTCTGGTGAGTATGGCAATGGTAGCGGCCACTATGGGCACAGCCATGGTCATGGCCATTCCCATTCCCATGGTGAATCTCACTACGGGATGAGTATGGGTCATGTTGATGACTATGCTGATCACGAAATTTCAGAGGAAGAGTTTGAGAAGCTCCTTGACTACGCCGAGCAGTGCAATGTGAGGATGTACTGATGATGAATGTAATGGGTGTGATAATAACATACACTTCTATGTTGTTGTACTACTCTATCCTTCTAAGCTTTTAAATATCTCCTAATAAAATAAAATAAGGATTGGCTTGCTAGTCCTTTGTCTTCCTTACCTACAATGGCCCTCAATATTTATACTTAAAACTTTGTTTAAAATATTTCACCAAACTAAAATATAAATAATCATTTTCATAATTGTTTTCTCAAAAGATGTTATACTATTAAAAATATATATATATATATATATATATATATATGATTAAAATTTTATTTACATATCCCAATATCTCACCAAATACCAACTCCACACGTGTATATATATAAAAAGTAATTTGGACATTATTAATACCATTCATATGGTTCAAAGCATGCACCTAATTAAATTTTCTTAGGCAAAAGTTGGTAAAATTTTGGATTGGGACTTAAATTTTCTAGAATTTAATGAATGAGTGCATAAAGTCCTATTTCAGGTATTTTATTACAAATAGGTAGCATAGCTTTGTTCCACCTTGTTGGTGTATGCTTATCTTGATTGGGAAGCTTTGGCGAATATGGAACGTTTTTAAGTGGCTTTTATTTAAGAAAAAAAAAACCAAAAAACAAAACTTTGAAAACTATGATTAAAGTAGATACTCTTTAAAATTTTAAACCAAATTTGGGTTTAAATTACCTACACTTGTTTTAGGTAATTATCATACTATTTTAAGTTCAAATTACCTCGAAATTTTTAAAGAATTTCTACTAAAATGTTTATAAAAAAAAAATAAACATTAATATTGTAACTTTTTAAAAAGATAAAAGTTTTTTTAAAAAGATAAAAGTTTCAAAAGTGTAAAATTGAAGACATTCTAAATAAATAATTCCTTCTATACATATTTGGTGGAGTATGGGTTTTTTATGTTTGATTGTCCCACTACACGAGGGCTTTTATTGGCGTATCTTTGACCAATCTAGGTCTTTGGATCTTGACTCATTAAGTTAATTGAGAATAAAAGAATATGATTTTCCTCTAATATGTGGTCTAATGTTAATCAAACTTTCAACTTAAACTTTGAATTTAATACTTAATAACTGGGAAAGTAACTCATGAATTAATTACTCAAAATCATGAATCTAAATTAAAACTAAATTTAGTGGGGGAGAGATAGCAATAAGCGTTGTTATTATAATTTGATTAGAAAGGGTTGAGGAGAGTATTGTTATTGAGAAGATCATTACATGATTTAACCCAGCAAAGGTGACAGTCAACACCTCTTAGAGTGAAATCTCATGGCGTAGTCTACGAGTTTATCGAGCTCGTCTTCGTTGATGACGCCATCGCCATCAGCATCGGCATAAGCCAGGCCATAGCGAGCTTTGTGGTGAGGAACAAGATTGCCTAAGAAGCTGAAGGCTTGGGTGATGTCACTGATGCTGAGGACGCCATCTCCGTCCATGTCGTGCTCTAGGAAGATCTCCTTTATCTCTTCCCTCGACAGATGCCACCGGTTTTTGAAGGGCGCCATTGGGATGATTTTGCAGCCTGGCTCTCGTGCTTTGTTCTTGGGATGGAGTGTTTATATAGACTTTATTGAAGCAGGCGAGTATGAATTATTTGATTATTATTTTTAAGGAAGAAGTTCTTCATTCATACATAACGGAATCGAACAGATGCTCTCTACCCATTACTGCAACTTTATGCAATTGTACGTGGTGGGCTAATAGAAAAGAATAAAATTCTCAAAATATTAAATATTAAATACTAATCTATATATCTTCGATTAAATAAGACACTAACTATTCGATGTTTTACTAATTATTCGATGTTTTTTAAAATACAAAACTCCAAATCCCAACTCGAACCAAGGAAAAACACATTTAACAAATTTTATTTTTCATTTGACAAGAAGGGTTAATAGATTCCCCTCCTTCAAATACACATCGATACACGGAAAGCCATAGACTAAAAATAAGTAGAATAGTTTAGCGGAAAAAGACAACATATATGTACTTTTTAACAAAGAGTGTATTTACGACTTTTGGCATATTGAATTAGCTTGTCCATCTCGGCCATGCTTATGAAACCATCACCGTCGATATCAGCGGCACGTAGTGCCTCTTCTACTCTGAACGAGCTAAAGCGTGAACCAAGATAGTCGAAGGCTTGCTTCAACTCCTCCTTTGTTAGCTTTCCATCACCATCTCCATCGTGGTTCTTGAAAACGCTAGCTAGTTGTTCCTCGGAGAATGGAACAAGAACTCGTTTGTAAGTTTTGCTTTTGGAATTCCCCATCAAAGACAATGGAGACGAGAGAGAAGGAAGGAGATTTTTGCTTGGGTTGAAATGCTTGGATTGATTGAGTTTTTAACCTAGAGGAAAGCATCTCGTATATTTGAATTGTAAATTAAATAATAGAATTTTATGTTTATCCATTTCTCTTAAAACTTTTTTTCAATATTTGCGGCGAATCATCGACTTTTGAAATGGTAATTAAAATCTTATCTATCAAGTTGAAAATTATAAATCTAATATATAAATTGGTTTTATTTGCATTAAGTATATAGTAACATTATTCTATTTCAACAAATGAAATAAAGAAACTACCGACCAATTAAATACCGAAAAAAAAACATGATGAGGAAGCAAAACTCGTGGCTTCCTTTTCGTTTCATGTTTCTTCTTTTCTAATAGATGAAAATAAAGTTGTGTTTTGTAACTATTTTTTTTTTTTTAAATATATAAACATGTTTGACAATTATTTATTATTTATTATTCTCGAGGAGGAGTAACTAAAAAGTTACTCACGGTGAAAGCGTCGGACATCTTCCTACTATCAAATATATTAAAAATGATATTTTGTTCGTCATTCTTTTTCTTCTTTCATTTTATTTTTATACTTTTTGTTCGGATGATATTTCATTCTTATTTCTTAAAGATAAGTCTCACGTGCTTGTTATGTTGGCCATTTTTATCCAGTCATGACTGGAATTTTAGAACAAAAAAGAAAGTAAAAATTAGAATGAAGCTTAGCTAAATATATTATTAATTAAATAATCTTATAGAAAAATAGTTTTTTTTTAGGAAAAAGAAGAGAAATTGAGATTATTAAAAAAAAAATGAACGACCACAAATCAAATCAACTTACTTTTCCTTTTGTCAGGAGTAAAGATGCTTAATCGCTAAATTCTCTTTTTCTTTATACTTTCGTAGTTATTAAGTTATGTTCATATTGACTTTTAAAAATTAAAAAAAAAATCATGTTAATTTAATGACTTTTATTTTTTATATAGATTTATTCTTAAAATACCTTAAAAAAATATATATATGTAGAGATTTTTTATAACTCATATTATTGTTGTAAAATGATATTTTAGCAAAGGTCAAATACTATATTATATCACACATTAATTTCAAAGACCACTTTTCATCCTAAAAAATTGCTCACTAAATCATGTAAATACATTTTAAGTTATTAATTTTTTTTTATAGGTGCTTATAAATAATCAATTTTATTTGAAAAGAAAACTTTTTTTCTTCAAAATTATTCCAAAGATATTAACTAAACCTTGAATTTATTTAAAAGTACATATATATGTTAATCATTGTGTTTTTCCTTTTTCGATCTAGAGCTATAATGTAAAGGCTAATTTTTGTTATATTATTATTAATATTAATATATATATATATATATATATATATATATATATATATATATATATATATATATATATATATATAATTTTAAGCCAATAATTGTGAAACGTGATGGTTCACCATAATTCAGACGCGATTGGAATTGGATCTTATGAGCCGTGTTAAACATTGTGAAAGTTGGTGGTTACTTTACGGTGTCGTTTTTCAAACTGCTATTCCAACCTAAAGCAGAAGCAAGCTTAGTTGTGACACTAAAACGACGACGAATCAGCGAAGTGGAAATTTTTATACAAAAAAAATAGGGGAATTTGGAATTGGTGGAGACTTGCGATTTGCTAACGGATAAAAGCGACATTTCACTGCATGCACGAAGCCGACTGTCCAACAAACTCTCACCATTTTTGGCCCGGCCGTCGAAGTTGAAGGCAACTTTACAATTCTACCCATGACTCGGTTTCTAAATTACAAATATATCATTTTTATATATTTAATTGGAATCTGTACTTTTTATTATTTAATGTATAAAAACTATAGTTTTATAATTGATAATTGAATTATGTTTCTTTGTTTTGGTGATATACCATAATGTTTAACTACAAAAGGGGGAGGGTATATTGGGAAATTGAAAAGAAACTGAGTTGTATGAGTACCAATTTAGGGCAAAGCAAACCCTAAATTTCTCCAATCTTTTCCTTTTACTTCATGTTTATGTTTGTTCAAAAGAAAAGGAAATGTATGTCCAAAAGAGTGACACTTGGCGGCATCACAGTGCTCCAACTTTCTTTAATCTCTACTCTAATTTCGCTCTCTTAAATCCCAATTAATCTCTTCCTTTTTCTCTCATTCTCTAATTCTTTTTAACCATTTCCATATTACACGAACCCAATTTCTTATATATAAAAAAAAAAAACCACCTGGGTTTTCTTCACTAACTCTGAAATGGTTGAAGGATTTGGTGTTCAGAGAATGTTGAAGGCTAAAGCTTGGATCATCAGAATCAACCTTCTCTTCCTAGCCTTCTTCTTGCTCCTTTACGTCGCCCTCCTCCTCCATCCTTCATCTTTCGCCCCGTATTCTCTCAATTCCGTGTCGTTCGTCTCGTGTTCGCTGCGTGAATGCCATCCCAAGGTTAGGTGAGCTAACTTAGTAGTTTTTGTGCTGTTATTTGATGAAATTAACAATGTATTGAAGGTTTGTTTTAATTGTGTAGATGAAGGTAGTTTTGGAGGAGACTGAGCCAAGTTTGGCGTTGAAGTCGAAGGGGAATAGGAATATGACCAAGTTGGAGATACCAATGAAGCTTTGGAAGGAAATGGGGAAATCAACCAAGATTGGGATGGTGAATTTTGATGAAGATGATATCAGTGAATGGGAGTCCAGTTTTGAAATCATACCCATTGCTTTCCAAAAGGTGTTATTA